GTGTTCTCTCGTTTGTCCAGTGCCCTAGTATAACTTTTTTAGTTGTCCTGTTGTTGCTCATCCGAAGGACGTGGCCCATCCTTTCCAACGCCCGCGTCTCTATTTTGGTTCTGATAGATGTTATCCCCAGAACCCTGCGTATCTCGAAACTATTGACCTCCTCTCTTTCCATTCGCAAGAGTGTTAAACCTCTCCCCTCATTCCATATCCACCGGTAGCATTTATCCGCCATGCTCTGCATCTTCGCCATATCAGTCACTGTCCATGCTCTTGCACTGCAGTCAAATAGCATTGTTGATTCGACCACTGCCTGTACAATAATTGCCTTCGTTCGTTTACTGACCTTTGCTTTCCACAACCACCTTCTTACTTTTGACCACGCCCAGTATCCCCTTTTAATCCTCGCTGCCCTGTCCTGCTTCCTCCCTATTAGCGTCCCTAACATCCTCGTACAATTCGCTGTCTCGCTTCCAAAAGCTATGTATTCCTCTTTTCCGTTGTGACATTTTTCCTCGAACTTCATCATTTCCGCCTTGACCGTTTCTTTGCCGACCGCTAATTCTTCCGTCCAGCCCAGGAGAGTTGAGTCGTCTGCGAAAAGGGACTCTTCTAATCGAAAGACTTCCTGGGTGCTGCTCCTTAAGGCCCTCTTTACTTCTATTGGAGGGAGACTATTACCTGGTCCCCACGACCATTCTAAACCGCACTCTTCGCCTATCTCCGCTTTTTCTCTTCGTTTTTTGGCAGCTAACCGCATCGCCTGTGCGTGATACACATTGAAAAGTATCGGAGATGTAGCGCAACCCTCCCGTAGACCTCGTACCGGTAACCATTCCTCGCTTAGTTCCCCTCGACCCTTAACTTTGTATTTCGTTCCTTCATGCAGGTTTTTCAAGACCTCTATCACACCCTCTGTCATTCCTAAGTTTTCCAAAACCATCCACAATAAGGGCCTGTTGACTCGGGGGTATGCTTTTGTTATATCTAACAGTACAGCTCCCGGTCGTCTCCGCCTTCCCAAATACCCTCCTTGTTTCCTCATCTATTCTCAGTATGATTTGCGTTGCGTCACACGTCGATCGTCCTTCTCTGAAACCATTTTGATTCTCACCACATGCCTCAATCTTCTCCGCCCATTTTCTAATCCTACTCGCTAGTATCCTTGCCATTATCCTGCTCAACACCGGGAGTAGGCACACACCCCTGTAGTTGTCTAGTTCATTTCTAGCTCCTTTCTTATGTAGGGGTATGACCCATCCTTCCTTAGCTTTGTCGGCCCAGTTCTCAACCGGTGTGGCTAATTGTTCCATCATGCATTGGTATAGTTCTTTCCGGGTGTCTATACTTAAGGCTTTCACTGCGCTAACACTTACATTGTCTACTCCTGCCGCTCCGTCTTTCATGTTCGCCAGTTCTCGTTCGAATTCCACGAAGGTTATTGCTTCTTCCATCTCTTCCGCTGCTGCCTTTGCCTCTGGAGAGTCCTTAATTTCTGTTGACGATGCCGTTCTCATTATCTCTATGACGTCCCGCTCGTATCTGTCTTCCGAGACTTTCATGAAGTGTCGTCTGAACTCTTCTGGCGAAAAAAATTCTTCTTCTATGTTCTGGAGGTCTTTCTCCCCTAAGTACCTTAGTGTCTTGTACATGCGTCTTATATCCCCTTTCACTTCGGCGTCCTTTGTTTCGTCTACCAGTTTAAGCCACCACTCTTCTTCCCATCTTCTTTTAGCCTTCTTGTACTCTTTCCTGACCTCCTGCCTTTGTATTTTAAAGTTTTCCGTTCGTGTTCGTTCAAAACTCTTCGTAAGTGCCCCGATCCTCCGTTTGAACCCCTGTATTTCTTCTAAATGCGTATCCAGCCATGGACTCAGTGCTTTCTTTTCTTTAAATCCGCACACTTCTGTACCCGCTTCATTAATCAGGTTGATTAGGCGTTCACTTTCCTCACCCGTACCCTGTTGCTCTCTTCTCCGTCTACTGTCGATGCGAATGCTCGCCGGATTGATCCATCTCGAAGAGCTTCCCAGTTTATTTTCCTTTGAGTCTCACTTTTCCTATTTGCCTTCGCCCCCTTCCTTCTCCAGACCTCCATGCATTTCGGCCTGTGGTCCGATAGAGATGTACCCGCTATTACCGTGTTTATACTCTTCACTACCCTGCTCCGGTCTTTTTTCTTCACCATGAATCCGTCAATTTCGTGCCATGTTCTTCTTCCTGGGCACTTCCAGGTTCCCCTCCTGTTGTGCCTAAAGAAGGAGCTAGTCCAGGTTAACCCCTGTTCGTGACACCATTCTATTAGATCCCTCCCCGCCGCGTTGGTCCTACCCAGTCCGAATGGTCCTACCGCGTCATCTTCTTCCCTCTGGGAGGTGTCCCCTACACTGGAGTTGAAGTCGCCTCCTAGTACTAGCTTTTTTGCGCCACATCTAATCATTTCGTTTAGCTCTTCTCTATACGCATCGAAATCCCGTCTATCGCTATTCCAAAGGGGCTGGTATGTCGCTACAAACTTGATTTGGTTGACCTCTACTGCCGAACTCCTGTCCCCGCATGTCCTCTTGCATCCTTGGTCTCTCCAATCCAGCGCCCATTCGTCTCGGAGTATTATCCCGCTTCTTTTGCCGTGTATAAGGACCCCAAACATGTCTTTTGCTTTAATCCATTTCATTCCTTCCTCCTTTTCCCTCAGTTCGGACAGTAATACCACTTCCGCGTTACTCTTGCTTATACATCTTAGGATTTCTGCAAAACGATTCCGTCTAGGGAACGAGACTCTCGCCCCCTGTATGTTCCACGTCCATACCCTTGTTGCTTTACCTTTCCCCTTCGTCTTTGCTTCCCTTTCCCTCTTTTCTGCTCTGGTCTTTTGCACCTTCTCCCTACGTTTCCGTTTTTCTGTTCGTCTTCTTTCCCTTATCTCTCGCTTTCCTCCCTCTCCTTTACACCAGGAGCACCGGTCGCATACAAACTCATCTGAGTATCCCTTGATACTCCGCAAGCTTGTGCATTTCATGTGGACATACCCCCCTAAATGACACCATACGCTTATCTGCCGCCTATCCTTGATTTCCTTCCCACAGATCGGACATACGTATGTTTCAGGACCTGGGTTTCGTTCCACGTCTCCTGTCCTCACCAAAAGCTGGACCCAGTATGCAGGTTTACCCGGTCCAGCTGCCAAAAACCCGCCAGACATGAGAATGGTGCTCGTCCGAGAACCATTGATCGCCTTTGTTTTCCCACTGGAGTCGGCTGGTCCCCGTGGTGTTTGATAGGAGGGGGGGTGTCCGACTTCTTTGCCTTGGCTGGGTAAGTCGTTCCTTCCCACACTCCCCTGGTGTACGTTTTGTTTGCAGCGCTTTTCCCCACTCGAAGGGAGTACACCTCGAAAAGCCTTTGTTCTCGCCGGGTTGGGGCACGCTCCCTCCTCCTTGGGGCAGGCCTTTGCTCCTGTTCACAGCCACAGTGCCACCTGAAGTTGTTGTGTGCGTTATTTCTTTGACGCTCATGTCGAGGCATTCTCTGTGGAACCATTGCCTGCAGTCCACACATTGCATTGAATAGCCTCTCCAGGTCACCGGTTTCTTGCAGAGTCCACATGACCATCTTGGTGGCCCCAGAGTTTGTCTCCATATCTCCCGCTACCAATAGGAGGCGTCTCGGGTCAGCGGGACCCCCCGGACGCTTTGGCAAAAACCCCGCATCTCTTCGAAACATTTGCACTCTGGGGTCGTGTAGGAAATTTGAAGGCATTGCTGTCTTCCACACCACTCGCCTTGTGAAGGCTTCCCACATCGAACGGAGATAGTCTCGGGTCGGACCACCTCCCATTGCTGGTGAAGTTTGCGACTGCAGAGCCGGTCAAGAATAAAGCAAGCGGGCGGACTGGGAAAGTTTTGCCGAAAAGGTGGACGACCTTGTGGAAGAAACATGAAAAGAAGAAGGTTCTCTCGAAAAGTGGTACAAAGACTTCGTCGACATTCTCATGAAAGCGGCGAAAGCAAAAATTCCTATGACCTCTAACAGAAAACGACAAACACCGTGGTGGAACGAAGAGTGCAATATGGCAAAAGAAAGAATGAAGGAGAGCTTCGATGAGTGGAAAAGAACTCAAGAAGAAGGGCCTGGACAGCCTGAGACAGCGAAAAGGAACTTGAGTCGGGCAGTTGAAGAAGGAAAGCGTGGCTCGTGGAGGTCTTTCACTCAATGACACCAAGTATAGATTCCGGCTATCACAAGATCCTATATGCGAGCACTGCGATGGGGAAGAACCAGAAACAACGGAACACTACCTACTGAAGTGCACAAATTGGGACCAGGCCAGAGAACCCCAACCTTGACGCTTTTGCAGACGAACCCCAACAACATCATCTTATTCGCAACAAGCACTGGACATTTCAAGTCCCCTGATTATCAAGAGGGCTCCTAAACACACACACATCAATCTCTAATGAATCCGATATGTAACTGTCACTGATATTGACAACAAAGAAGGAGTTTAGCCATGATTTTAGTCGTAATCACACTGTCTGGGGATCCGATTCTGTTTGTATATATTCGAAAGCTCAGTAAGATTCGTTCGGCTGCTAGTATAAAAGCCGTAATACGTTCGTTTACACTTAAACATACCAAGTATCACTTTTGGAAAATCACTAAAAAAACTCGATGAAATCATTCAATTCATGAATAATTTATTCATTTTCTTGGAAATATTGATGATCCTGATAATTGTTTTAATCAATAATTGTTTTAATCAATTAAGTTTTCTGCTCTTAGGCCATACTGCTTTTTGCTCCGCCTCCGACTGTCAAATATGTCTAAGTTCTATGCTTTCATTCAGATCCGTCAATCACATCACGCACAGAAAACCCCACATGTTTTAAAAAAAACTTTTTTAGTTTTTTTTTAAGAATGTAGTCGGAATAGTAGTCTGTGCTACTTGCACAGCAACCGGCTATCCTTGTTAGATTTGAGTTTCTTTCCACATTTGTTTTCAGGTTCATCCCTGTTCTTGAGACGTAAATTTGGCGATGGATACCAACTTGTTCTGGCGAGAGACGATCGATACGATGACAGAGACAAGAACAGTAATGGCTATCAATATTTTGTCACATCTAATAGGTCACAGAAACAAGAAGAAAATCCATATGAGTCAGGGATAAAATCTGAGGATAGTTTCAAAAAACTTGAACGAATACGGAGGAATCACGAAAAAGCAGCTGAAAAGCTGACAGAATTTGTCCAGCGTATTTTTCCTCAAGCGACTTTAACTAAGACCGTCGGAGTTGAAATAACTTTTACGCTACCTTATGAAGGTCTCTCATCAGGAAAATTTCTTCAGTTACTCGATGCATTGGAAGCAAATAAAAAGCAGTTGGGAATTACTGACTATGGATTATCAGACACTACGCTTGAGGATATTTTCATTAAGGTAGCGGATACTCAACCTGCAGATGGCGAAGTTTTCTATGAAAAGAAATGGTTCTATCATTGTTTGTGTGGTTGTTTTTGTGGTTGCTGTGCTTGTGGTAAAAAATTGTGTTTCAAGAAAATTGAAGCGGAACCCGAACAGGATACGGTAGTTGTGAAGGAAAGAACAGATGAGCAAAAAACTGAGGCTCCAATCACTACACAGCCTAGATCCTCAATTGAGGAAAATCTAGACCCAAAAAGGAAATCACAAGCTATACCTGATGACGAGTCGGGAGTAAGCGTGGGAGCGGGAGGCAATGTCGCGTTTCGTAAAGCAACCAGACCTCAAGCGGTAACTTTCGCGGAACGAAATACGCCTAAGTTAACTGGAACTAAGTTGAGAAACCAGCAGTTCGCTGCTCTATTGGTGAAGAGATGGCACCATACTAGAAAAGATCAGCGAGCTTTTTTCTCACAAATCATTTTGCCGGCAATTTTTATAATGTTAGCGATGTTGTTCGCCATGCTGATGCCTAGCAGCAGTGACCAACCATCTTTAGAACTGCAAGTCTATATGTATGGAGATGGTCTTTACATGATTGTTACTGATACCAGTAACGGCGATCCAGTTATGGGAGAACTGGTAAAAGAGTTGGAGAAACCACCGCATCATGGTACCAGATGTCTGGGTACGTCTGAAATTGACGGTCGTAAGTGCATAAAAAGCCCGCAGCCTGATTTTTCAAAGCCAAAAATGCCTAAATTCCTGCAACTCTACGACCCGTATTCTTGGTGGCCAAGTCCGCAGTGCCACTGCGAATCTGGGTACCCAGACTGTATGGCAATGGCGGGAGGTGCCGTACCTCCTCGAAAAATTCTGGACACAACTGAGAAGCTACAAAATATGACCAGCAGAAATGTAACTGACTACACCCTGAAAACAAGACTGGACTACAAAATGAAAAGACTTTATGGGTACGAATTTCAAGGCGAAAGACGAGATTTTGAGGTTGATTCGGCGAAAATGTACCGAGCATCAAAAGCTGTAGAGAAGTTTCTGAAAAATAATAAGACTAGTACGCCCAATGAATTTGGTTTCAGCTTGTATAACGTGGTCAAAGACTTGAACTTGATCTTCAACGATACATTAGCCGAGAAAAATATTATGATTTGGTGGAACAATAATGCAATTCACGGTATACCTGCAGTGATGAACGGTTTGAACAACTTGATTTTACGAAGTGTAATTCCTGATGAGAAAGCGAGAAAAGACTATGGAATAGTAGCGTACTCTCATCCTTGGAAAGTAACCTCAGAGCAAGTTTTGGAGAAATTTGTCGAAGGTTTGATAAAAGATGTTATAGTTGCTTTATTCGTTATATTTGCGTTGGGATTTATTCCCGCTAGTTTCGTCCTGTTCCTGATTGAAGAGCGAGTTAGTAAATCTAAACATTTGCAGTATGTTAGTGGGGTTAACCCTAATATTTACTGGTTTAGTACATTTACCTGGGATTACTTAAATTACCTGATTTCGGTCCTGATTGTTATTCTTATTTTTATAGCGTTTGATCAAGAACCATACATCGCTGGCATGCAGTTTCCATGTTTATTGTTGTTGTTTCTACTATACGGTTGGTCGATCACACCTTTAATGTACCCAATAAGTTACCTTTTCAAGGTTCCAAGCACAGCATATGTGATTCTTATTTTGTTTAATGGTTTTGTAGGCATTATAACAACGGTTACAACTTATATGCTGGAACTCTTTCCCGATATGGCGGACACAAATGTAGCTTTGAAGGCAATTTTTCTTATTTTCCCACAATACTGTTTGGGAAGGGGTTTGTTCAACATGATAGTAGAATATAAAATTGCGATAACGGTCAGCGAAATAGGAGATTACAACCAAAGAAATCCATTGGCCTTTGGAGTTGCCGGTTTGCATTTGATGTGTTTGGCAATTCAGGGTTTCGTTTTCTTTGCGTGCATTATTGGAATTGAACATCATTATGTTGTAAGAAGAGCGTTAGTGTTAAAGAAACGAAAACAATTGGAACAAAAACTGCGAGCTCGGAGAGGAAGTACTGTAAGGTTCAGTCAATTAGATGATGAAGACGTTTATGAAATTAAGCAGATTGAGTCAGATGTTAAAACCGAACAACAAAAAGTATTAGCCGGTCAATTCAATAAAGAACCAGTTATTGTTCGTCAATTACGCAAAGAATACAAATCGGGCAAAGGAAAATTTCTTGCTGTGAAAAATTTAACATTTCACGTCCCGAAAAACTCTTGCTTCGGTTTGTTGGGAATTAATGGCGCGGGAAAAACGACAACATTCACAATGTTGACAGGAGATGTTTTGCCTTCGGGGGGTCAAGCGATAGTAGGCGGCTATGATGTAGTTACACATGTAAATGAATCAAGAAAGAAGCTCGGCTTTTGTCCCCAATTTGACGCTTTGGATAATTTTTTGACAGTCAAAGAACACTTAATGCTCTATGCTCGTTTGAGAGGAATTGAAAGAAAGTTTCTGAACTTCGTAACCGATAGTGTAATTGAAAAAATGGGGCTAATAAAGTACAGTGAGAGACAAGCAGGTACGCTAAGTGGGGGTAACAAGAGAAAGTTGTCGACTGCTATTGCACTGGTGGGCGACCCCCAGATCATTTTCCTCGATGAACCGACGGCTGGCATGGACCCAAAAGCGAGAAGGTTAGACAAATTTGAAAAGGGACGGATCGAACGTGGTAGAAATGGTTCCTTGTCTTGTCTGTGCTAATTTGGTTTCAGCTGTTTGACAGCAGTTGGTTTTTAAAATTGTTTTGATTTAAATTTCGTGGTTTTCAACCTTGCAAGAGTAAATTTATTGCAATCGGGCGTTAGAGTTTTTTTTCTGTGAATAACTTTCTTCACAATACTCATCTCTTCAGGCCTGGTGAAGTTGAAGTCTCAACCGATCTGTTGATCAATAGACATGTTTTGAGCATAATTGCATTTCCAGTTCCTGTTCTTTTCGAAATTTATTATTTTGGTTGTACATTTATCAGTTGCGTTTTTGTATAATTTCTTTTTTTCAGTTTTTATGAGAAATGAACGTAGTGAGTTCAGAAAACAGTCATAAAATTAGTTCACGTTCAATTTCGATTTTTAGCGGTTTGAATTTTGTTTCAATTTAAGTTCACTTCATTTCGTTTGATAGAAGGAAGGCAAACTCCACTATCGAACATCAAAAGTATAAAGGTCACAAAAAACTTGCTTGACTTAGTTTCGAAAGTGGAGTTTAATTATCAGCGAATGTAAATTTTCACCTCTTGATTCTGTTTTCCTAAATTGGGTTAATTTTTATCAAAAAAGGGTCAAACACAAATTGCTCTTGAATTTCAAAGAATTTTAAGGGCGTGTTTTTTCTTGAAACTTGAGGTTTCTTCAAAGAAAAGTTCAGTTTACTTGCGTTCATTACTCTTTTCCAACTGTCAGTTGGCTATGTTTTTTCTGTCAAAGTTTTCATTGAGTGAATTTCTGCTCTGAAAATAGCTTGAGCTTGAGAATCTCAGTAACTACCCCCCATTTCCCCCGTCCTCCTCGTGTACCTAGTAACGAATCTCTCCCCCTCCTACAATTAAAAAAAATCAACGGTTAAGCTTATGGAACCTGATCTAAACTATATTTTATGATTGGATAAATTAGATATTTTACCACTGTAAAGTATTTAATATTGACCAATCATGATCCATCTAACTATTAACCCACTTTTTGTAAGTGCTGAAATTACTTGTAATTTCAGCACCAGAGAGATTTGAATTTAACTTAGAAATTAGTTGTCTCTCCGAGAGAACTTCAGCAGCCGCAACAAACCAGTATACCCTAGATCTATTGAGCCTAGCAGAGACTAGTTAAACACCCTGAGACTAGTAAGTATAAGAGTAAGATTAGGATCGGTATTAGACTAAGAAGTTGCACGAATCTATCCGGCCGAAAATAAGATAGCGTGACGAGCAGACGGTGTACCCTATCCGAAATTACTCTATGAGTTAACCACATCGGTCCTAACTCATCTGGTGCGACCATAAGTCTCGAATAGACCTTAACAGCTTAGATTCAACCAAAAAAATAGATTAGAATTTAGACAAAACATTTTGAAAATGTTATACGACGATATAATTTAATCGAAATGTCTCTACGACTCAATAGATCAGAGCCGATATTCCGAACGATAGCAGAACTACCCGGAATCGCAAGAAGACCTCGAACAAGAGACGACATACGAGAAAGTAGAAACTTACCATATAGTTATATGATTGTACGGCAAAAGCCAACACAAACTTTTATATTTAGAATCTTATTAGCAATGAATTTAGATTTTCATTTGCAAACATAAAATTTTGAAGTCAAAACTTCATGATCATTACAGGCGCTAAACAAAATTATTAATATACAATAACGATTGATAAAAAGATCTCAGATTGTTTTCTTAAATTCTGCAGTCTTATATAAAACATGTTTGGAAAATATTTATTGAAAATAAAAACAAAAATTAGAATGACAATAAATTGTTAGTAATCATAAAATCATTTGTTGTCCCAGCTTCATCACCTAAACATAACAGCAATCATAAGCTCACTAATATCATTAAAAAACTAAATATTTTTCTTAAATAAATTTAAACCATTTTAAACTTAAATTCACTTAATTTTAAAATCAGATCATCAAGGCTTATCCTTGGATCTTAATTAATTTTCTATTTCACTAAATTTAAAACTTGATCATCAAGGCCAATCCTTGGATCAAAAAGAACAATTTTGTTCTCCCCTACCCACTTAGCAAGTGTCTAACGACCTCAAACGTCGATTCACTATCCAACCCTTCCAAAAAACCCAAGACTAATAGAAATTTTTCAACAAAACTAACCATTCAAATTAGGATAAACAGTGAAGAACTTCGGTTATTCATCCTTCACTTGAACCCTCCTCTTATCAGACCCAGGATAAATCTTAGACTTAGTAAGTTTAAAATAGTATCTAAGGAACTACTCGCGTTCTAATTATACCTGAACCTTGTGGATCGATTTACTATTCTCCAACCCTTGAACACAATCACTACCCCTAAGTAAGATTAAGTAAGTTAACACCTTAGCTTATACTAGCCACGAGAAAGTAAAAAATCATTCTTCGGAATCGATATACTTTTCTCTCCAACCCTGAACAAAAAGACCCAGGTTAGGCTAACCAAAAAATCGTAAGGACTAACAGTTTAAGAAAAGTAGACATCATCTAACAACTTTTTGCATCCCTCATCCTAAACCTTATGTCATTCAAAAATCTAGGAAATAAACAAACAATCGTTTTACACAATTGCGAAATAGATAACAAAAAATACGATCTTGTAATCACACCTCATACACAAACAGTTGGATATATTAGAACAAAACGACTAACAATTAAAAGAAAAATAATAAACAAACAAAGACAAATCACACGAAAAAGATTTTCAAAAAATAGAAACGCATTTTCAGAATCAGAAGCCAGCAATTTAGATGAACTCTATAAATTAAAAGAATCGATTGACAAAAATTGTCCTATCCACGATCAATTATATTTTTCCGACTCAGAAACAACTTCAAATTCATCAAAAAGAGGAAAAAGAAGAATAAAAAAACAATATAAACACAAACCAGTACACTTGTATAATTGGAATCAACCAATTAGGCACATCGATAGTTATATATTAACAGTCATTAAACGAAAAAATGAGCCACAGCCACACTCAAAGTGACGAAAGTCCAGATGACGAAGAAGTTTACCACTTCCTCGTAGATGCACCCAATGATAGAGGGCAGCATATATTTTGCAAGAATTTACTCCTAAATTTGCTTGAACCCGGAATCAGTCCATGCAAAGCAGAATTCCCAGATGTAAAAATCAAAAGACAAATTATTGAACATTATCTGAAAGATATATGTAATTTAACACAACAATACGGAATCTACACCATAGAATTCAGCACACCAAATCCGAATCATCGCAAATATGTAATTCAAACAGACGATCTTGAATTAGAATTTTCAAAAGTATTCGTAGAATATATTAAAAGCATACAATACCATAACTCACAAAGAGCAAATTCTATATTCACTAACGAAGTCTTTGCAATAATATATAGCTACATTTCAATATTAGAAAAAACAGAAATTCAAAGTATCTCACCAACTGAGACATCCAAACATATAAAAGTACGAAATGAAATTACATTATTTTCAACTTTTCTACATATAATCAAAGAAAATATCACTAAAGACGATGTTTCACAACACACAAAACATGATTTACAAAAAATTTTGGCATGGTTTATAATAGATTATTTCACACATAATATAGACTTAATTTCACAAGCAAGAAAAAATTTTAGACCTCAAAATCCAAACGATGATACTGCCATCACAGAACAGTCAGATTACGTTTGGGACCCTGAATGGTCTCATCATGCATTTATAAATATCCCACAATCAATCTCAAGTCAAGCAATAAGTACAATATCTTATCAAAGAGATTATGTGAGAGTAGTACCACTGACCATTGATGCAACACCATTGAACTACAATACATTTTTACCTGATACACGAAATAATAGTTTAAATTCGACCGTCATACACAATGAAAACCTTAATGGAACTAGAAATCTTACACAACAAGATATTCAAACACCATCACACTTCATAAATGAAGAAATCGTCCAAACAACAACAACTACACAACAAAGTATTTCACCACTACGTCCAAACTTAACAACACCAAAAAATACAAACACTTCAACGGCACAAGTAACCTTACAATCAACCGTTAAACCTTCGGTTGCTCGAAAATATTCACATATGGATTATCAAACATATAGACCTACGACAATACCGTCAAAAACACGAAGAACGTTCACAAGAAACACTTTTGCAGAACACAATTATAACTACGCACATTCGTCAAAAACAAATTATCCCCCACGAAAACCTGATAATAATCATATAAGTTCTCATCATTGGAATAACCCAATGACAACAGCCAACTCAGTAAATTTTCAAACTAATTCACATCCCCCACAGGATCGCAGTGAAAATTACCCATTTTTTCAACAAAATAAAAATAAAAAGCAAGCACCTCATCATACGGATTACTTATCATCTGATGACGATTATTTACAACCAGATATTTTTGCACCGTATACCCAAGAATATCGCGGACAAGGAGCACAAAAACCTTATACATATAATAGAATTTTTTCTCAAAATCCAACAGAAACACGAAATCAACAACCAATACAAATGCAAAATCCAACTAATACACAATCTTTTCAACCGATTCAACCACAAAATCCAACGATCACACACTCGTACCAACCAACTCAAATGCAAAACGAAATACCACTCCCATATTATCTTCAACGACACGAAATAACAAAGAATCAACTTTCAAATTTTTCACAAATGCCAAATGCCGCAGAATCACTACAAATGACAATGAATCCATACCTTATGGGTGGATCATCAATAACATCAAATAAACCACTAATGGTTTTCACAGGAACAGATCCTGAATATTCTGTAGAAGATTATTTAAATGCAGTAACAGCAAATTTAATTTTAAATATAGGACCTGAACCAATTAATACACCATTACATCAAAATTGGATACATCGACGCACAGCGTTGATACAAACAACCTTAG